GCTAGGCCTCGACCAATCCAAAGCTGGCCAGGATGTCATGCTGGGTGGCGCCGACGTCGGAATGCTGGACGGCGCTGGGATGTGGCCATTCGCAAACTCGTTGTAAGCATCGCGGTCGTGAACGCGCAAGGCGCCTAAACCAAGCGACGTGTTCGTCATTGGGCTTGCAGTCAAGGACGTCAAGTTCGTCGAGGCAGGCGAGCTCAACGGCGTGGCAGCAAAGCCCAGTGCCGGATCGTACGCGGGATCAAGCAAGCTCGGCGACGACTCTGGCCACGGTATGCTGTCGGCCGACCCGTTTGGGCTTGGCTTGGGGAAGCCACCGGGCAGAGCGTCGAAGCCTGGCGAAGGCGAAGGGAAGGATGTCGATCTGTAGAGGTCGCTCATGTCGTGACCAGGCTGGAACTGCATCCTCGCCGAGCCATGCGGATGCGCCCGATCGACGGTTGCGTCGAAAAGCTCCAACGTATTGCCAGCATGCTCGTTCGGGTCTTGATAGGTTTGGAGCGCACTGGCCCACGGTCCTCCTGTAGCAAACGCAGAACCCGTGCCAGTAGTTGGACTTGGGGACATGAACATCTGTGCAGCGTTGATACCACTGGAGCGCATGAGCAGGCGCAGACCGGGCTCGAGCGTCATAAGATGGTGCGCTGCAACTCGAAGTTGCTCGTAAGGTCCCTCTAATTCGTGAAGAAGCACTTCGCTGGCCTGTCGCTCCTGAGTGAAATCATCGTTCTGACGCCAGGACTTTGTTGTGCTCTCCAATCCATCTCTCTCGTTGCTGCGAAAGACCTCCAGATAAAAGAGGGGAGCTCGGTGGAGCTGAATTGAGATCCTTCCCTATGGGATGCCGGGTGGGAACTTCGCGTCAGCCTTGCTAATGGGCGCAGATGAGGCCAGGGGACTGATCCAAGACTTACCTGCGCGGCGCCCGTCGAGTCGAAAGGCCCTTCCAGCGAAATGCTCTTGACGATCTTCCAAGGCAACTCGAGCTTGAAACCGATGCTGTCGTTTATCAGACGCCATTCGAAACGCTTGTTTGCTCGCGAGAAAAAGCAAGTCAAACCAGGTTGGACTCGACGCCAAGTGCCCACCGTCAGAGACGTCACTGGGAACTTGATGCTCGCTACCAATTGAGCGCGGGTCGTGTCAAATCGCAGCTATCGCAAGTCAGGGTGCTGGAATCTCATAACTCACGCTCCAAGCCGGAGAACAAAGACCCAGCCGAGCTCTCCCAATCCAGGCCTCCCGCGAGTCCTAGCTGAGTCGTGGAAGGGGATGGGTAGGCGCTCGCGGACGTGGAGCCACCGAGACTGTGCCTCAGACTGGCTGGAGTGGACGGCGGAAGAGATGACGTCTCGCTCTTCAAGCGTCCAGTCTGAGGTACGTTGGGGCCCGGCGCCCCGCCTGCCGCCTTTCGTTTCTGCCGACTGCGCGTGTCAAGAATGCATCGAACACGTCGATGTAATTTTTCCAGTGAGTATTTGAGATGTAGTTGCAATTTGCATGGAGGGTGTGCGCGAGCGCGCCTGGGAAATTGGTCAGCCAGGATATCTGACGCTTTGCAGGAAAATCGTCACATCAAGTGCAATATATGGAAATGTGTGTGCCCACATGGGCACAAATCTTGAAGGGATCCACCGTTGATGTAGCGAGCTTCATTTGACAAGACAGCGTCATGAGTGCTCGACTCACCGATTCTGAAACCAGACTGGGAGGGGAGTAGAGCATCGCGGAACGACATCAGCCACGCTTGACAATGACCCACATGGCGTTCGAACTTATAATCGGACTCACTTTGTACGCTTCTATCTGAGCAATTTATTCTCTTGGCCAGGTCAGCTCGTGTTTGGCCGATCGGGTTGGCGTTGTGGTCGAAGAATTCTTCAAGGACCTCTAGCTGCCATTGAGACATCTTGTTCCGTTTCTTGCCTTGTCTAAAGGCGGCTCGAGGGGCCAGACGACTGGACGAAGAGGATCGTTGCACGTCATGAGGTGCAGAAATAGCATTGTCGGACGCATGCGGTCTTGTCGCGCCAGAATCTAATGACAAGGTCGGCCGCCTTTTTCGCAATTGATATGGAGCTTCGGTAAAGTGGCGTGCATCCGCGCCGGAGCTGCTTTGATTGGCCAGGACGTTTGCCGTGTTGAGCGCTTGCAGGTCAGCAGGCATGTCGAACGTGTTTGCCGTGATCTGCTGGCGCGTGTCAGGCCAGATTAGTCCGAGACTGGACGTCTCCAGGCCAGGCTGATGCTGTTGAAAGTGAGACGACATTGTTGCGCCGGCCTGTAAGAAGGGACAGTGAGTTCGTGGAGTGAGGTTGCGCGCAGCGCCTCTACTCACAATAGGAGAAATAAGTCGGAGCTCTTCTCCAGATACGGTAAAGTCAGTGCTTTGGCGACTCCAGTCGGGGGCTGCAGCGTTTTGGGTTAGACGGGTATCGAGCGAGGCAAGGACGGAGGGGGAGTCGGCGAGGATTTCTAGTGCACGTCTAAGACGTTGAGCAACCATAATTGTAGGTTCCAGTGCAGGATATCGACCGTGAGGGAGATGTTGTAGGTCCATTTTGAGCGGCGTGAAAAGGGATATTTGCGGGAGGAGGACGTGGAACGAAAGTTGAGCCCAGAGGGGACAGATTTTGTAGCCCATGGAACGGGTAGAACATAGCGAGTCGGAAAGAGAATGGGCATGATGGGGCAGGACCGTTGACGAAAGCGCATTTTGCATGCAGATGGTGACCAGATCGGCGGCATGTCGACAGTTAGAGACGGTCGAATGAGGGCATAAGAGCGGGCAGGGAGAAGGAAGTCTGAAGGTCAATCATCTGCTGTCCTTGAGAGCGATAAGAGATCCAAAATGGAAGTGAACGCAAAGCCTGGCATCCGATAGCCTTCCCTTCGAGCGCTGCAGGATGCAGAGTTTCTCGCTGTCGACTGTTTCGTAACCGGTCAAGTCCGGCCAGGCCAGCACTCCCTCCTGCGCAAGCTACCGTAAATGCATGGCATCTTCTTGCTTCAGGGGATCGTGATGAAGCTCGCTGACCGTCCACGGGCCTGCCATTTGCGCAGACGCGCCTTGTTTGGCGCTCTACTTGACACTCAACGATTCAACTCTACAAAAGAGTCTACTTGAACATCCACTTAAACATCCCACCCTTACCACCCTTGCCACCACAGGTCGCACCACGGCCGTTGCCGTTGCAAAGCATGCTAGAACCGTGCTCGAGCTACGTACAGGTGGGAGACTAGGAGCCTCGGCAAACTCACCCTGATGATACGATTTGTCTCGCGTTTGACACTTTGAGGGCTGGTCTGAATGTGAGACAGAAAGACGATGCCAGAGGATGAGGAACGTGGTTGGCGGTAGTGACGAATCTTTTTCCTAGCAGTGGAGACTGCGAAGCGAGGAAAGGCACGAAGCGCCGCACGGCGGAGTCGCTGGGGCTGACAGCGATCCAGACTCCAGGAAGGGGCAGTAGAGTGTCGATTGGTCGATGGATTGATCGGCTATTTGTCTGAGAAGGAGCAGAGGCTCGGCAAAGCGCAAAATGGGCTGCTTGCTTGAAAGTTCGTGCAGCTTTTTGAAGCTACAGCCTACTTATTGCATCCAAGCGCAACGGCTGCTCTTGACTAAATCTCCGCAAGCGCAGCTCGACGAAGAGGATCGATATCGGAAGGAGCTCCTCTGCTCAAAACCAGTGCTTCATCAACACCCTGAAACCGCAAGAAACATACACCTTAGACTCGGGTCTGGTTCCTCGTGCGCACACCACACACACACACTCACCAAGTCGATGAATTTGGCTCGTGGACGGATCGGCGATCTCCTCTTGTAGAGGGGTCGATATGCACCTTGAATGAGGGACCGTCGAGCACGCACCCCTTCACATACGGACAGAATCAATCTAAGAACACTATTTTCGGGCCGCTCTGATCCCCCAATCGGATGTACAGTCTTTTTGATCTGCCGCTGGTTCCGCAGAGAGTTGGGAGGATGTTGCCAGTAGGACGTCGACCGGAGAATATTCCAACCGCCAGTCGACTCTAGATTGATGTGTTGAGAGACGTGCGCAGGCACATCATTGACAGCTTTCTGAAACCTTCTATGAAGGGGAACTTGTTGTTGCTCATGAAGAAGCACCTCTCCGCTGCCGAGGGCACGGCTCGCGCTTAGGGGACACACCGCATCCCAGCCGCGAGAATTGCAGAGCTTCGATCGAGCACTCGAGCCGAGCGGTGCGGATGCACTGAAGTAGTTTGCCTGCATTTTGAGCAGTGTAGAAGCGCGGACTACAACAAGAGCAGAGGGTCTCCACTGCCCGCCCGAAGTTTGACGCCAACTTGCAACGCGACCGAGCTTGAGCACGGCATCACGTCGGCTAGCCAACGACGGTGCAAATGTTTCCTCCACAAATGCCGCTTCTGCAACGGCCGGAGTCTTTCGTCTTGACGGACGGGCCGCTTTGACAAACGTGCTCGCTTTGATACTCCTTCTGTCGAAGCAGCAACAGACAGGGGCGGAGAGCCGTGCACGCTAGCGCTTACTGCGGAGATTGCACCAGAGCCGGCGTGGCCGCCACCCTGAGTTCGGCGAGTGCCGTCTCATGAGGGGGATCGGGATGCGAAGAATGACCACTGCATCCGAAGACTGTTGTAGCTTGTTTAGCTGGCCGACTTGAATAGCGAAACGTCTCGACTGTCTTGGCACAGTCCGATATCGACTCCGACTGGCGGGCAGTCTGGCACTCACGCAGAAGGGGCCCTCTTGCATCGCGCGAATCTCGATTCCCCAAGGCCAGCCAGTAGCAGAGCGGTGCGCCGGAGAGATGTTCTGCTGAGAAACAAGCAGCTCGGCCATTCAGTGATTCTCTTTTCAATCTCGCACCGCCGAGGGAGGCGGTAGTCGTGACGACATGTCTACATCGCCGCAACGTTGGGCTATGCTGCCACCGCACTCGACTTGTGACTTGCTGATCCGAGAGCTGTACACCGGAGCGGTGCAAGCATGCAGCGTGTACCGTAGCACAACGCTCAATTCCCACTGCTCTCCATGCACGCACCTGCGCGGCGGCGGCGGCGGCGGCG